CAAGGCACATGGGGTGCTTTATAAAATCTCTCAGTCCTTGATAAAAACGAATTGGGGTGCTGTCTTGTATTGAGTTTTTTGTCTTTGTTTTCTTTCCTCCTGTTCCTTTCAGAGGCTCTCCAAAGAAGAACTTACCTTCTTAACTTGTATTTTTCTTTCTCTTCTCTCTTCTCTATGATAATACTTCCTTTTCTATAAAAAAAAAAAAAGTCCTGAACAGCCATCTAGATTCTTCTGCTATTTTCAAGGGTCCTGTGTCCTAAGAGAATAAGTATAATCATACAAATGAAGCCACATCACTTCCTACTTAGCACTGACACATACAATCTAGCTACACTGCATGCTCTTGCAACCTATTCCAGGTAGGAAGAAATTGATAACGAAGACTTTTTTTTTAACTAAGAAATGTAATGATTATACTAAATGCAGCTGAAGCCATTTATGAACCATAACTATAATTTCCAATTCTGAATCCAAAAGTTGAACCTTCAATATAGAAGGCCGCATTCTTTTGACCACAATGTAAAGCCAACATAAAGAATTATGGGAGATGCAATACCTGCTTCAAGAACAAAATACCAGTTTCCAAAGGTAGAGATCACAGAAATTATCTGGATGATAAACTCTGCTTAAGTATAATATCATCATTAATATTGAACATGATTTCCTATTAGCATCTAGTTGATTACTCAAAACAAATTAACTTCAAAAACTAAACCATGAAAGACTCCTCCCAAAATACATGATAATGCATCCCGTTAATCCCCTAACTGTCAAGTGACTTACTGTCAAGTGAAACCCTCTGGTGGAGATATGGGAAACGGCTAAAATACTTAGAGAAAGCTCTGCCCAATTCCCCGGCACTCGGAAACCAAATAAGAGTAGCATTTTTATTTTCCAATTAAATCAATCTCATCACTCATCCAATTCACGTATCAGTTTTCAATCAACATCCTTCATCACTTCTTATCTGGACGTGGCCTTCCATATACGACAAACCTTCTTCCTTCTTCACAAAATTGAGCATTCAAAAGAGTATCGCAAATTATCGCAATGCCCAAAGAAAGCATAAACAATAAGATCGTCTAAAGTTTTATTTGGACAGTCCAAATATTTTCATATTTGAATAAGGTTGAAATTAATGCCAAAATTCCCTTTCAAGCCACCCACAAAATTTTCCTCGTTGTTGAATTTTCTCACTTATTTATTTACCTGGCAAGGCAATAAACCCCGAAGAGCAACATCTTTTTCACTGCGGAGGGTGTAGCACCTAGACATTCTACCTTATGCAATGTAAAGATTCCAGAAACAAGGGGATCTCCCAGCAGTTATGCTTTAAAGACATGGTATATCAACAGCTCACTCATTTACACATTTGCTTTACTAGTTGCCCACTTGTAGCTCACTACCAATCAAAATTCAAACCCAAGCAACCTAAACTCCGACAACCTAAACTCCGACAACCCAAAACAATCATTAACAGAATGCCAACATAAACTAACAACGAATTATGCCACTGATAACGCAAAGCCATTTTCAAATCAGCTTAATATTCAACTCGGAGAACGAAAAGAAAATTCAACACCTTCAACCACTCGCTCAATCAGGTCGGTCTACTGCGAGTCATAACTAATACATGTATCAGCCGAATCCCTTGTATTTGATCTGAAATTATTAATTAAAAAAAAAGCAAAAGATAGAGTGAATAAATGCTATAACTCACCTTAGACGCGTACCGGACGAGAAGGGATTCATGATTGGGTCCAGGGTCGAAGCACCGTCCCAAGCTTCAATCAGATCCAAACAGAAAATGAAACCAAACCAGACCGAGAAGTTGCGAATCGATCAATCACGAGACTGAACCGAGTGGAGAGTCCTAATTCGAAACTCGATAACAGAGTAGCTGAATTTGGAGATCGCAAAGAAAGAGAAGAAATTTGGATCTGAGAGTCTTTCTTCTTCCTGTTTGATGTGTAATTTCTTACTAGAACGCACGCTGGTTCCTCTGCCTTGTAAAAAAATGAAATCAGAATGAGAATTGAATTAATTTTTATTTTTAATAGAATTTTTACAACAAAGTTTAAAGGAAATCAAATTTCTTTGTTAGCGTTGATTGGGTGAACTGCGGGTGATATGTCATTTAAGGTTCTTGAATGTTGATTGGCTAAAGCAATGTGAAGCGTGCGAAATACCTAATAAATGTCTTTGTTAGGGCTTCGTGTCTAGGCGCAATTCCATTGGTCGTTTACGAAATCTGGGAAACCACAGGTAACGAACATCAGTTTCCACTCACGCCCTTTAAGAAATAAGAAGGTCCCTCGTCATTAAAATAAATTAAGCACAATTTGATTAATTTTGGAAAACGAGTAATTTTACGAAACTAATAAAAAAGCGAGTTGATTTTTTAAATCTGTAAGAAATTAATGATGAGATAAAATTATTAACAAATTAGTGTCTATAGAAAAACTGGTGTCATAGGCTTAGTTTGGAACAAATAAATAATAAAATATAATTCTTTTGAATATAAATTTTATAATATACTTTCTTTTGGAAATTAATTATTGTTTTTGAACATTTTCGTTTGGTTTTATGAATTTTGATTGAGTTATTATGTTTGAAATAAATCTAACATGAATACAGGTAATTACCCTTTTATACTTTTAATAATTTTACAACTAGTTTAATTTTTATTTAATATATGTTTAAGAATTCGTCTAAATTTATTTTTTAATAAATGGAAAATAATAGAAAATCATGTAAACTGTGCTACAATATTAAAAAAAATATACATATAAAAGAATTCAAAGTGAAATTAAAAAATTGTATTTTAAATTCTATTTTTTTTTTCAATAAATAATATTCTTTTTTTGTTGAGGGGTTCCAAGACATGATAATTCATTTTAGAGAATATGTGTCTTCCAATTTTTTAATTAGTTTTTTTTTTTTATAGAAAAATTAAGATTTGTTGTTTTGTGAAAGCAACCATGGTTTATTTAAGCATTGAATATAATATAACTGTATTTTCATAATGTTGCTACAATAAAATATTTATTAAAAATACTATATTAAATATTATATAATAAACGAAAAATTAAGCACTATTTAATAAAATACTGTATTTGGTAGTATATGACTGAGTTGGGTAATTATTGTTCTGTTAAATGTTTGGTAATTGATATCAAGTGCAAACACAATATATATTTATTTTATTTTGTGCGTGAATATAAATATATATATATATTTTTTTTTATACTTTTATTAATATATTTAATTTAGATTATTTTTAAATTAATATTAATTTAATTTTGATAATTTTATGACAAAAATCTTAAACTGTTCATGGTAATAAATCACTTAAAAAGTAATAATATATTAAATTTATTTAATTCAATTCAATCATCTCCTAGTTAAACTAATCGTGTCTTCCTTCTACATACAATTATAATTCAAAAAACTTGAAATTAAGTATTTCACCAAAACAAAAAAAAAAATGCTAAAATAAAACTACTTATATTATGATACGCCGTACTTAATTATTTCGCGGTTACTAATCGAATATCTAAAATTTTCGAATGAAATTTTGTTATTATATTATAAATTAAAATAATTAAAGATTAATTTATAATCGAGTAAACAAGATAGAACAATGAATTTATGATAGTTTTGGATATTCTATTTAACTTAAACCCTAAAGTTTGTATAAAAAAATAAAATAAATTAAGCTCATTTGCCGTATAATATGATTCAATTTTGGTTTTAAGATATGTGTGGAGTATTTAGCTACATTATATGATTTTTTTTAATTTTAAATATGTTTTAATGTCAATATAGATGATAATTTGTCCTAATTTAAAAAAATGATTTGCAATTAAAACTTTGTGAAAGAAATATAGAATAGTGACAAGATAATGCCACATATTATTTATATATTTTAAGAATTTTATTGAGGGGCTTTCTTATTTGTTTTTTTATGTTTAATTAGGATTATAAACTTTCGTTAAAGGCATCATATAATTTTTTTAAAAAAATATTTCGCACTTGTTGTTTTATGATAATTTTTTATATTAAGATGAAAAAAAGCTACTAATATATTGAAAACCTTATTTATAAATAATTATATATAAATTAATATGATAATGAGTATCACATCCGAATGAATATAAGTGTACTTATGCAAATAAAGAAAGATATAGTAGTTAATACTCAACAATTATTTAATGCTAGTTTGAATAGTCATTTTAAAGCAAGGTTAAAGATTGAATTACTGTAACTATGCATATCTTTTCTTGCTATATTTAGAAGATAGCTTGAACCGAGGTTGTGACACTAATTATCCTCACTGTATCTTCGCTTAGTATATTGTTTTTTTTATGTTGTGCAATTTAATAAAATAATATTAGAAAACTCAAAGTGAATCAAGCAGATGAATAAAAATTAAAAAAGAAAAGTAGTCCAAACTTATAATATCTAAAATCACGTTTACAATTGCTAGAGGGAGATATATATATATATATATTTTTCATTATCTTTACTTGATTAATGTGCTTAAATTTATTTAAACTTTCTCTTTTGATTTTAGATTAAAAAATCAATAAAATTAATCTTATTATGTTTATGACATGACAATATCAATTATTTCAAAATTAATTTAAATTAACTGAAAAAAAGAAAATATCTCAAAACCATAATCACCCTCCGTATGCGGACCAATATACTAAACTAAACTATTTAAATTATTATGTGCTGAGCTCTAAAATAATTTAATCAATTTGATTAACGAGCCTAAATAAATCTAAACTATATACATATATATATATATTTGTTGTTCTCAAAAAAATAAAGTGGAACATGTGTAATTTACCAAACTGCAGGGAGTAAAATATAATTATTCGTACGACAGATTTTTCAACGGTTGATGGTACATTGACGTGCCACGTGGATGACGATCAAGGCAAGACTCGATAATAACACACTATGTTTAAGTGATCATCTTCCTTTTTCCTCTTCTAGTTATTTCTTTCTTCTCTTTTGGGTAAAATCATTTCACTGTTTCAGAGCGCGATCGCTGGTTTCTTGCTGTGTTGACGATGGCTTTTCATTTCCCTCTACTCCATCTCTTCTTTCTCGTCGGCTTTGGTATATTTTTTTAATTAATTTTTTTAATAATTTTTTTACCTATATATTTACTATTTTTTAAAATTAATTATTGACAGTATCAGCGGAGCTAATCCTTGAAGATGGATACACCGTCATCACTGTGATCGACGGCCACAAGCTACACATAAATCCCTACTCAGTCCTCCCTCAGTCAAGATCGTCCGATTTGATAGTCCTTGACTCTTCCAGCAGTACCTTCTACACCGTGTCATTCCCCATATCTGAAGGTCTTGTTGTTTACTCTAGGGTTACCTTAATTGAGAATCTATTAATTAATTATCAATGTAACACTTGCAGGGAGCTCAGTTAAACGCTTATCGGGAGATGGCATTGCGGGTCATGTGGACGGGAAATCGGGTCATGCCCGGTTTAATAAGCCCCGGAGCTTCTCTGTGGATGCTAGAGGGAACGTGTACGTTGCTGATCCGAAAAACCATGCAATACGCAAGATTAGCATCTCAGGTTTATAATTTATGTTAATGTCTTTGTTTCGTTGTTGCGATGATGCACCTCTGTCTTCATGTGTGTGATATGATCGTTCGACTCCATTTTTTATCTGTGTTTAGGTACTGTGACTACAATTGCTGGAGGGTATTCGAACAAAACCGGTTCTGGTGATGGACCTGCGCAAAATGCATCCTTCTCTGATAATTTCGAGATCATTTTCGTTCCTGAAAGATGTGTTTTGCTTATCTCGGATCATGGGAATCAACTGATTCGGCAGATTGATCTGAAGGTGGATGATTGCACGAGAAGTTCTCCCTCTGGTGAGTTTTCGAAACTCTTGTGTGCCTCATATTGAATTTGCGTGAATAAGTCTGTTAGTGTTGTAGTATGTGGACTGTGTGGCTATGGATTTTGCTTCTTAGGCAAGGCTTTCAGGATTTGGCAAATGTAAGGAAATGATTATGCAGCATGCTCTGCACTTTGCATGAATATAATGACTGCGGGTACGGTATCAGACAAAATGGGGCTTCTATGATGTTTGTTATTAGTTATGCAGTTTGGATTGACATTTAGGTCTTTCAGATGCAGAGTACAAGTTAATGGGAGTTGTAAAAATGCTGTTTAGTGTGATAACTTGAGGCAACAATGTTTCACCCTAAGGTGGGAATGGGATGTGAAGGAAGTGTCAACTTCTTTTTACCAGGGTGGAGAATAGTACTCAGATGTGAGTCATAAACTCTATAATCGGAGCGTTAACCATCTAATGCTCTTTGCAAGAGGAGAAGAGTCCATTTGGTTATTTTCTAGAGCTGTTTTTTCATTTTTTTAAGATACATGTATACGTTGAAGGTTGGTTTCAATATATATACATAAAACATTAGATAAATAATATGTATGTATTAGATGTCTTTATGTCTGTTTTTCATGAGGTTTATTTTTTATGGCACAAGATCCTTAACCTACAAATCCGGGGACCATAAGTTCTTGGTTCCAATTTTATTTTGTTGGCATCCAGTGACTATTTTGCAAGGTTCTGTTAATTTGCTTGGTAAATTATACAAATGCTCTCTAAACTTGATCATAATTGCAAATTGCCCTCTATTTTCAGACAATTATATTAATGCCCATTTTTTTTTGCTTTTATTAGCTGCCATTGGAAAAGTGACATCTGTTGTACTAGTCAATTTACATTTTTTTTTTCTTCGTATTTTGCTTTAACTTACTGTCAAATAAAATACATTAATAAAAGTCATAAGAAAAAATCCTGTTGTTCTTTTCTTCAAACAATGATGTTGGCTTTTTGATTAGCTTCTCCAATCCTGCAACTGCAACTGTTCATGTTCTTTCTTCTCCTTCAAACCAAACGGACTTTCTATCTCTTTATCTGCCCTATTCAAATCTGTCCCCAAGCTACTGTTGTTGATGAAGGAAAAGCCAATTTAAATAGTGGAGTATAATTTCAATCAACAGCAACTAAAAGAAAATGTTGTAAATGGGTATTTATGTAAATCTCAAGAAAATTGAGGATGGTCAAGTTAAGAAGAGAGCTTTTTTGTAATTCACCCCTACTTTTCTTGATATCTAGTTTTGTTCCATATATATCTTTCTTATCATTGCTTTTCCTCATATAATGAAATATGCTCTAGCCTAGTTACTCTTATGGTGCATATTATATGTTCATACTTCCTTTAACTTGCAAACCATGTTATCTTGAATGTTTAACACAGTAATTTTTTGGGAAGCACATTTTCCCACATTATGATGCAGATGATTTGTCAATATTATTATTTGAAGGAGTAAATTTATTTTAGATTTGGATTTTTACATGTATCAGGATTTTATTACTATTTGAATTGTATTATTAGTTGCATATATTTATTCAAATTATGGGATAATAAAGTTCTATGTCCTTTTGGATTTGTCTACTTAGAAATTAATTTTATGTTAAGACTTTTGTAGAGCAGTACAAGTAATTAAGTCCTATGAGTTGTAATTTTTTTCTTTAATACATATTTTCTTGATGATGTTAGTTCTTTTTTCAAAATATTTTCTTGTTCTTTTCAAAGATTTCTTTATTTTCCCTAGTGGATTCAACAGACCTAGTGCTTTAGAATTCAAGTTGATTGTGGACGAGATCAAGGGATTTTGTTGCTACCGTGAATGAGATAAACCATTATTCACAATTCTATCTTGTGATACTTCATACATGTTAAAGTCAGTCCGATAATCTTTTCTTGTACATGAACAATGAGTAGATTGTATCTTATGTTAATGTGGTTGCTATATTCAGTATTTAAGGTATTATGACTATTTTGACTTCCAATTTTTCTCTTGGAAGGGGTCCTGCTCTTAATGCTTCTCTGACTGCTTGGTAGAAATTCCTCTGTACATTTTTTTGATAGAATATTCATACTTACATAGTAAATGTGTTGATATTAGTCCTGAGTACCAAAATGAAAGACAACGATTTACCATTTCTACTTTTTCAGCTCTCGGGGCAGCTTCAGTCTGGTTTTTGGGACTGGCACTTTCTTGTTTACTTGGCATGGCCATTGGGGTCGCTGTTCGTCCTTATATAATTCCTCATGTAAGTTTCCTTTTCTATTTGTACTTTCTTTGTCCCAATCGAATTTGCTCACATTTTGGAACCAAACTCTGTAGACAGGAGGGCTCCAGGGTCCTCAGTTTCAGCAAGACATGGAAGCATTGCCTAATCAATCTGGGGAAGCAAGTACTGATGCATTGCTCCGACATCAGAAGCGCAGTTGTTAAATCAATGGTTTATACAATCTTGAGGCAGCTTTTTTGGTTGTGCCTATCTCATCTATCACTCATGGTTACGGTCAACAGTGTGAATTCTAAAATTTTACCACCCCAGCACTTGGTATCATTACTTGACTCGGATGACTTAATGAACTGTGAGGTGAAATCGTCAGAGGTGATGTCTGATCAGTTAAAGGATTTACTAAGTTTAGATTATAACCAGGTTGTATCAAATGTAAGTAATGAAATAATCACGGGAGGAGATACAGAACAACAGGAGAGTAATGTTTTGGCGAGCGACCAGAGAAGGATAGATCGAATTATAATGGCCAATATCAATGGGTTATCAAAGACGGCTTCTCCAGCTGGATCTGTATTTGGCACTTCTGATTTACTCAAGAGGAAATGAAACTAACTAGAAAGGCACGTCTATTTTGCATATTAAGGCATGTAGCTTCTTTTTTTGTGTCCTTTTGGTCAGGGAATCAGTAAAATCCTAAACATGGTTCTGAACTCCTACGTAGTAAATATAATGTACTTGCTCTTGGTATGTGCTCTTTTGTAATTTTTCTTCTTCATATCCTGTTTTCGTTGTAGCTGGGAAGAAAAGTACAAGTCCCTGATGGATGTTTCAGCGAGGATGGTTAACAGTCCATCAAGCTCAAAATGAAGTAGCCTAAGGTTTGTCGACCTGATTGGATGTCATTTTAATAAGCTTGGTTCCAACTATGGTGCAATTCCTTTACAGGGTCGGGAATAAAAGAAAAAACCCAAAAATGATGATTTCTAATGATCGGCTTTTTAAATCCTCTATTCAGAGGTTAGATCAGAAACTGCTGCATTAGTGGTTCAAAAAATTAATTTATGTTTTTCCTTTAAAGAATCATGCTATGTGGTAGTACAGCGTGTTTTGGGAGTCTTTTTGCTTATGTTCCAGTAAAACATGGATTTGCTTTAGAGAAAAATAGCGTTCAAATTTCAAAGGTAAAGTCTGGAGGGAGAGAGAGAGAGAGAGATTATGCTCTTTTAAACCCTTATATTAAGAAAAGAAAAGGGAAAAAAGAGTTTTCTCTTGTGTGATTTTCTGAAAATAAAACTAACAAATAATCACTCTCAAATAACTTTAAGATGAGAAATTATTGGGTAGTTGAGGAATGTAGCTGAGCTGGTTCCCTTTTCGTCATCCGTTTCAATTAGACTGTATTAGTTCTTCTTCTTTTTTTTTCGAAGGACCATTAATTTTCTTCTAATAATAATCTGAGCAACTCAACGAAAATTTAAGGGTTACTTGGAACTGCAAAACAGAGAGCATCTCTTGACCCTTGCTAATGGAGAATCTTCATATTATATTAATTGCAGATTGCAGATGCATGTTCAAAACGACAGCTCTGAAACTTCAGGTTGGAATGCTTGTCCTACTGGCGGCTTTTGTTATTATAAAGTGTTCGTTTTCCGTCAAGTGAACAAAAATATTCAAACAATATATCAGTAACATGGCACTGAAAATATAATATATTTTCACCAGATAAATGTTTTCCGAAGTTGCATCTCGTGCACCGAAAATGTTGGATCACCAAAAATTTCTGAAGTCTCTATTAAACAACTCCTTTTGGACTTTAAATTATCAGCTATATACACATTTTTTTTTATTTAAAAAAAACACTTATAGCATGCTGCTGTTTGGATTCTTGCAGGACCCAACCCCAATCAAACAATACATATATCTAGAAAATTGAGGAACAGAGCATCGGAGAAAGACCATTTCATGACCCTTTTAGATATTAATTGGCTTGAGTTCTCTTACAAGGCCTGTCACACATGTACTACCAACATTGAGACAATTCCCAGTCTCATTAAAGATGCTCTGACTAACACTCCAATCTCTCATAAGAAAACTTTTAAAGCCACCTATACCTGATAACACCTATACCTAAAATATTATCAAGGAAAAATGTTGTACCACCAAAATCTCTTTTCTGTGTATGATCAATATCCATAGGGATAACCAGTTGAATTGTTTCGGAAGCGAATATTGTGATGATTATAAATGGGATCTCCATAATCAACAGGTTTAACAACCATGCCATCCAGCTTCCTTTCCTGCTCCTGGACTGCCCCAAACACAATCTCATTGGTCTTCTCATAGCTCTGCTCATAGTAAGTATGAGGAACAGATGATTGATAGCGATGGTTATGCTGCTGTTTCTGCTGCTGTGCAAAATCTGCATCCCAGCCATTGTAGAAAGCTCGACTTTGACGCAATTGATGCATCTTTTCCGCATCCTTGGACATGAACGGATAAGTTTTCCGTGGTGTAGGGGTTCTGGTTTCAATTGAAGGGGGAGGTTCATCTTCGTCTCGAATAACAAAGCTCTCTTGCACAGGCCAGGCACTGGCTTGCTTCTGCTGTTGCTGGTGTTGGCTATCGTATTGATAGCTTAATTGCTTCTTCCTGAGGCCAGGAAATATTCCTCCCAAGATTTCCAGAAGAGATGCTCCAGTATTGGCAAAAAGTTTCCCAAGTGATCCAAAGAAACCTTCTTCTAGCTTCTCTTGTTCATCTTCTGTTGGAATTAATGGTGGTCTCACTGACTTCAGTGGCTTTTGATATTCATTTGCTGCATTGCTTGTTTTTACTGTACGATGATCCTGCATTGGCATGAGATAGAAACTAAAAGAACTCCCTCGAGATGTAGTAAAAAACTCTTATGTCTCACAACAGATACTTTGGAAAAGAATTCTTACATGAAGTGATTCACATACATTATATTGATAAGTAATTATCTTATGCCATGAAGTGCTACAAGATAAGGAAGTAAATTAAGAAACAAGGATTAATACTTACATTCTGAGAAGACACAATTGTACCAACCCTCCGTTGCAGCAATGCCAGCATGTAACCAAAGAAACTAGCTGCAACAAGAACTGCAATCCCTGCAGTAACCAAACTAACATTATAAAAGATCTGCCACATCAATAAATCATGAAAAAAAAATGAAGGTTTGGATTGAGTAATTTACCAAGTGGGAAACCACTTCCATACTGATAAGCACAGTCGTCAAAATGGAGTTGGATCTCTCTAATGGCTCTGTTTCCTCTGTCAATAACCAGTAGGGAACAACTGCTTCCAATGTAAACCACATCAAAGTCATTAGAAAATTTTGCATCTTCACTTGGACCATCTACATGGCCTCCTCCCTGGCTCCACTTCCCTCCAGCAATGGTTGTTACCCCTGCAGGAAGTTTTTGGTTGTTACCACACCAACACATAACATATAACTACAATCCTATCACAGACACAGTCACAAATTTTTGTTTTAATGATCTTATTAGTTTCCCTTTCCGCCATAAAATACAGTTACAAACTTTAGTTTAATATTCTTATTAGTTTTCCATTTCCACCTGAAAATTTGATGTGAAAACTAGAGAATATGGCATGTGAATTGCTGGATTAGCTTAGAAAGAAAAACAGTGCTATCCTTCATCTGACATAATAAAGTGCCAAGGAAAAATTCTCTAGGCACAAGAATGTCCAAGCAAGTAGAAAACAATGTTACCTCCGTCACTTATCTTTCTGATTGCCATATTCATTGTGTCTGCAATATAGATGTTTCCTCTATCATCGACTGTAAGCCCCTTTGGGTGGTTCATCCTAGCTTCCCTAGTCCTGCCATCTATATGCCCAGCGTATCCCTCAGGGGATCCAGCCACCAGTTTTGGCCTACTATCTGCAGTATTCTCAAGAATTTGTCCCCCAAAAAGTCAGAAAACAATCACACAAAAAATCCATGAAAATGCAGTTCCATTAACAGAGTAACATTAAAATTGTCAAAAGCATGGGACAGACTGAAAAAAACAAGTAAATATTCCATATGTTTGAGATATTAGCGATTCAGAATGAGGAAAAATGTAACAGTATACATCGCTTATCTAGAACTTGTTTGATGCCAAATGTAGTAACAATAAGAGAAAGTAGTGTAATTGAACACAGCTCTATATAATACAGATCTGTTTGATTTAAGAAAAATATGAGATGCCCAAGATATTTATAGTATGATATTCATATGGTAATGCTGCAAATATTTAGTTAGTAAAATTGCTATGGAACCACACTCTGCTACTTAAACTTGCACTGGAACCTTATTCAATAGGTAGGATACAGCACCAGAAATGTGACACTGCTCTAACTGAAAATTGCAAGCAACAATAATTACTCAAATAGATTGTCCTTCATTCCTAGAGTCATTTGGGGATCCCGTCTTCCCAAAATCAAATAGAAACAATGAAAAAGTATTTCAAGTACATGCAAATTCTTTCCACTTACGAAAAGCAGCTTCAAAAAGATATGAAAAATAACAAAATGCATAAAGCATTGAGTGGGAGTGCTGCTGGAATGTAAGCAAAAGGTGCTCTGTGCTTTTTTATGCAATAGAGTGTACTGCTAAAAGAAAACAAGTTGAATACCCCATCTCATCTGCAGTACAACATCAAAGTGCTAAAATCCAGCACAAAGAAGCTAAGGATTAGATTTGACAGACTAAAAAGAGTCCCAATTACATTTCTAACAACTAAGATGCAAATTAGTTCATTCAATATGCTAACCCCATATATTGATAACATAAAAAAACATAAATGGATATCTAGGAAAGTAAGCAAAATTATAAGAAGCAAGTCTCTTACATAGAGAAAGAGAGGAAGATATCCTGTAAATGTTACTGTTAGCAGAGTCCAAAATCAGAAGCTCTCCATTGGGTAACAACTCCACCGAGTAAGGCTCAATCCCAAGCTTGCTTCCATCAAACACTGTCTCCACAGTATACCCACTCTCGAATTTCATCATCGGACGGCCAGAAATCGCTATACACACAAATCCAATAAAACCCACATTATCGTTTAAAGAAACTGTATATACACCACCTTCATAGCCAAAAACCCAGAAAAGGTGAATCTAAAAAGAACTAAGCGATCGTTATTTAATCGAGAGAGATGTAGACCTGTTTTTGTGGTGGTTTTGAGTGACCATAGCCATTTCATGAAAGCAGACAAGGCATTAGAGAAAAAACCACTAACAATCTCTGCAAAAGAAGAATAAAAAAGAATAATCAAAGGAATGCATTTTGTCAAAAGGGAAAGATTTAAGTTCAAAATCATACCCAGATAAAAAAAAAAAAAAAAAAAAAAAAAATCTAGACAAGCCTACACATGAACATATCTGCAAAAACTCACTTGCAGGTGAAGCAGCAGAAGGAGCTGAAGCGACTCCTACAAAAAGCAGCAGAAGGACAATACCCAGAACCAGTACATTCTTACCCATTACTTCTTCTACCGAGAAAAACCGAAATAATCAGCTCGGATAGTTAAAAAAAAAAAAAAAAAAAGAAAAGCAAGAGATTCAGGCTCCACTCATAAGCAAGAACCCTAGCTCATATACGGCATAAAATAATAAAAAAAAGCGGGTTTTGAAATGAAAAACAAGACTGAAAAACAATGGGCTTTATGGGATAATTTTCTTTTTTCGATTTTCAATGAGAAAAAGAGGAGGCAGTGAGTGAGCTTTTGAGTGAAGCGCAGAGGGTAGAAGGAGGGGTAAAAGGAAAGTTGAAAGAGAAAGAAAAGGAGAGGGTGAGAGTGGGGACGGTGTGGGGAGGGAGAAGGGAAAGGAATCATATGATTTGAGACTGTGTGATCATGTCTTTAAAAATTATAAATTCATTTTTCTGGTTCTGTTTAATTTAATTCTCAACAAACAATCGTCATCAACATTTATTCTTTGCTAAATTCTCGCTATTTCTTAGGGTCTTAATGGTGTTTTCCTGTAATTAACAATAGAATCTTTCTTTATTTTCCCCTTTTTATTCACTTTATAGCAACTGTTTCTCTCCTTTTCAAATACCAGCATCTATTGTGAATTGGAGATTTTCATGGTTATCTTTACTAATTTCTAATTTTGTACATTGCTTATAAATTAAGACATCTTAATACTAACCTTATGTTCTTTTACATGTTATGTAAAAACAATTATTAATATATTATTTAAATTCAATTAACATAATTTGTTTTACTTTCTTTATAAATTATAAATTTTGATTCATAATATTTAATTTAATATAACATATAACTTAACAATTTAAGATATTAATAGAATTATATTAATCAAATTAATTTTTATCTTAATAAATCATAACATATTCGAATTAAAAAAAAAAAAAAATTTATGACCTTGTGGCTAAAAAATTAATATAATTATTTTTACAAAAAAGTGTTTGACTTGATAATTATCCCCCCTCTCTTCTATATTATATATTAAAGAATTAATTTAAACTCTTATTTTGTACAATATAGTAATTAAAAAAAAGTAAAATTTTTATTTAAAATATAATAAAAAATAAATTTTAAAATATATTATTTTAATTACGCATTAAATTTTTTATATATTCAATTTTTTTTTTTTATCTCGATACAACTTATTTTTTTTAATTATATAAAATAAAACATATTATTCAAATTTATTTGAAATAGATTTAGTCAGTATTGTTTGAGTAGCACTATTTAAATAATTTGTAAATATATTTGCACTAATATCTCTACACCTTATGATGGATAAATCAAATTTAGAAAAATATTTTTTATTTTAAAAAATCCATTGAGAGTTATAATATTTTATTCACATAAACTAGAAAAATGCTCTCAAACAGTAATTTAAACAAAAAAAAAAAATTAATGTTTGATATCGTATATATAGACATGTAGATTTATATATTTTAGTATACGATTAAATCAATTCTATTTATATTTTTAATTTCAGAAAGATAAATTAGTTGTTTTTTGTACAATTGTCAAAGGAATTTATTTAGACAGTGATAATATGTATAATGAATTATATGTATATGTGTGTGTGTGTATATAAAATAGAGCACGAGCCATGTGAAGAAACAGTTGGACACTAATCACCCCAGCAGCCATCGCAGCTGTTGATTTGGACCTTTGATGTTAGCTTTTGCTTCTGTTCCACCCAATTCCCACTTGGATATTATTTTGTTTTCGAGTCTCTAATTCAACGCAATAATAATGGTGCTACCATTTCTGTCTTCATGGTTAATTTTTATTAGTTTTAATTTGCAAACCGCTCTTCAATTTTCCCCAATTATATTCTCAAACATGAGTTGATGGAAACATTCATTTACCAACTTTATATAATTTATATATATAATTCCATGGACCACCCAAAATTGGTTTCTTTTTTGTTACAAGAAAAAACAGAAGAGAAGGCATATACACAAATGGTTGAGTGCCACATCTCTCCATCTTTTATCTTGTCAAAAAGCGTGATTCCATTTTATCATTCAGTCAATCCACCAATTATTTGAATTGGTGAATGGGGAAACGCATGATGTAGA